AAAAAATAATTTCAATGAGAAATATCGCACCGTCCAGTCTATATTTGACAAGGTGTCTGGGGAATAGAATTAAATAAATCTTTTTTAAATATACACCTTGGAAGGAGTGAAAGTTCTATTGTAGATATGTAGGATATATGCACTAATGTATTTTGATGACAAGTTTTAAAATATTGTATTAACCATTGGATAAGTGAATTTTCTTTTGAAATTTCCTCAACCTCAATTCAAAATGAACCGGAACGATTTCTTTAAATGAATAGAAAAATTGTTTAACGTGATTTAAATTAAATGCAAAATTTTACTTACCATAATTCATTTTTTAGTTTGTTTTATTTTCTTTATTAAATTTGTTCAATCAGATAAATCAAGTAAAATCGTGCTGAATATTTAATTCCTGAACAAAGAGTATAGGCGCCAAGCATCGTAATTGATTATTCGGTCAATTAAAGGCCTAAAGACCGCAGACAAACATTTGATAAGTATTTGAGTAAGCTAAATAAAAGACTTGAATTCCGAAATGTGTAGTAAATATCAGTTATTTAACGATCAGTCTTCAATTTCAGTTTCTTCTCACTGCAGAATTGGGAATGATAATAATTCCGGGGTGGGAGATAGATTTACCTCCACTTGGTGCACCCTGGACAACGTATATTCATACGTCAAAAGGTTAATTAACCGGACGTTGACATTAAACTACCATGGCCCACTATATACCATATTCAACTACTTCCAGATTATTCACCTCACCTCACCTTGATTAGTTGATTAGTATGTGTAAGGGTGATGAGGTAGCCTGTTTTTTAGTCTTAATGTTTGGTTCACCTGTTAAGCCGGTATATAAAATGATTTATTTTTTCGTTAGACCCATTACATGTAACACAGTTCGAGAGGGTCCCATGGATTGAAAATGGAGGGTGTACGAGTTAAAGAAGTACCTTCGAGTTTGTGGCAATTGATTTAAAAATGTTTTCTCGTCTCCGTTTTCAATTACTAAAAAGTGATATCGTTATGGGACCGTAAATGATGCTCACAATCTTTGTCCTTCACATTTCGAGTGGTGTTAATATTCAATATTGGATCAAATAGATTTTGATAATATAAATCGTCAGCAAAGCCATGATTCCCTTCTGAATGAACACCTGCTTAGCATATGTGTGAAAAAAATAAACAAAACGCAATCAACTTAAAACAGGCTCCGTGTAAAGTGAAAATTTGCAATATAACAGCCTAATAATTTTGCGTATTTCACTTATGAAAATCGTTATAACCCCAGTATAAGCTATTTTAAATTTGGTTTAGGCCTAGATTACAATTTCTTGAGGGGGATATGGCGTAAAATAAAGCTTTTGGGAGTTGTTTCTAAATGGAGCTTAATGAAATTAACAGGTGTTAGATGGAGATGCTTTCGTATCCCACATTATGATTTAGGCATTTGAAGGCTTTGTTCATACCGATTTCATCTCGGATTACGGCCTTGTTGAAGCTTCATAGTTACCAATTGAAGCTATTATATTGCCAACTAAGTCATTCCAATTTCAAATAAGAAGGCAAATTCGGAATTTTTGTTTAAAAATATAACTTTATTCAATTAGATATTGGCCGTTCTTGTCGATGACCTTTTTCCATCGTTCTGGCAGAGTAAAAATTCCCCGTTCGTAAAATGTCTGGTCTTTGCTATTAAAAAACTGAATTAGGTGTGATCCGACATCATCCGCGTTGTTACAAATTTTACCATTTAAAGAGTTTTGCATGGGACGAAACAAATGGTAATCCGAAGGCGCAAGGTCAGGGCTATATGGTGGGTGTGAGTGACAAAACATCCCAACCCAGTTCCAATAATTTTTGTCGAGTAACCAAAGATGTGTGGGGCCTTGCGTTATCATGATGGAAAACAACACCCTTCCGATTTGATAGTGCCGGCCGCTTATCTTCAATTGCATCCTTCAGTTTTTCGAGTTCTTCGACATACACATTTGAATTTATCGTTTGGTTCTGCGGCATGAGTTCAAAATACAAAATTCCTTTGTGATCTCACCAGACTGACTGCATAATCTTTTTTGGTGAATCTCTGCTTTTGATACTGTTTGGGCTGGTTGATCTTGTTTCACCCATGATCTCTTGCGAGTAACATTGTTATAAACTATCCACTTTTCGTCGCCAGTAACTAGGTTCTTCAGAAATGGATCATTCTCATTGCATTTCAGTAGCGAATCACAGATGCTAATCCGTTGCGTTAAATGAATTTCCTTTAACTGGTGAGGGATCCATAAATCAAGTTTCTTGACATAACCAAGCGTTTTTAATTTTTTTTTTTCAATGCATGTATGCGACACATTGAGCTTCTCTGCAATATCTCGTGTTGTGCTGTGACGATTTGAATCGATAATGGCCTTGATATGGGTTTCATCCACTTCGACTGGGCGGCCAGATCGTTGTGAATTTTTCAGTGAAAAATCACCGGAACGAAATCTTTCAAACCAATTTCGACACTGCCTTTCTTTCAAGGCTTCATCTCCATATACGCCACATAACTTCTTTTGTGCTTGCGATGCGTTCTTGCCTTTTCGGAAGTAATACAATAAAATGTAACGGAAGTGCACGTCCTGTTCTTTCATTTTTAAATTGGGATAAAAACAAAACTAAAGAACTAAACAAAAAATTTTTTTACTAATTAACCTAGAAGCCCATACAGTAAGAAAAAAATATAGGTAAGATGCTCTGGCCACGTTAACAAAACAAAAGAAAGTATAGAGTGAATCTGTCAACAAAAACGGCAATGACTTAGTTGCCAACCCAATAATTCAATACTCCATGTACTTATTACTAACTTCAACGCATTAATATTAATAATTTCTCATTGAGTTTGAATTATCTCTCGACGGCTAACACTACATTTTAGAGCCTTTATAATAAAGAAGTATTTAAATAAATACTAATTTTGGGGGATTTTTATTAAAAAGTTTGACTATTTTCTTATTAAGTTAAAATACGAGATTTATTCATATCCCACCATAATCCATTTCAACAGACAATCAGGAATTAAGTTATTTAATAAATAATTGATATTCGATAATTGTATCTTCTTGTATGATGGCCGGGTGAAAAGATCTTTAGCTGTCAATTTTGAATTGATTGAATGGGAATAGCAGAATTGGCTGATTTTACGGTCAAAACCAAATACTTGCTCAATCCTCAAATTGAGAGTCAGGTGAGCAATATTAAATGCATTAAAATTCTCAGGTTAAGTTAAAGTCAGTGATTATGACAAACTTGAATTTTTGTTAAAAACTACCGAAAAACCGCATTGGTAGCGACAATAAACGAGTTAGCAGCAGTGAAATGTTTATTTTATTGAGACCAGGGGATTTTTCATGTTGATTAGTCATTAAAGAACATTGCTTTTGTGTAAGTATATTAAGGCCAATTAAGGTTGGCTCCAAAAAATTTTTGCATTAACGGAATTACTATTACTTAAACACATTACTACTTTCAAAAATGGCTCATTTATTTCATCGAAGATGCCAATTAATTAAAATAGTTGCTTTCGGATTTAAAAAAGATGTCAGCATTCTTCATATTAGAACAAATTGTCCCATTTAGTACAAATTCTTTCTTGTTTAAGAACACATCATTATCAGCGGTAAATTCAAATGGGCGCGTTCCTATTCAAATTATGGACTAAATTTAAACAACTCAGATGAATGTAAATTTTCAGGGAAATTTTACTTTCTAACTCGCTGGAGAGATGAAAAACGAGGCAAGAACGAGTAGAGAGTGCGAGAGGTGGAGAGAGAGAAAGAATAAAAATGGAGAAAATGAAGTAGAGGCGGATTTGTGGTGGGTGTGAGGAGTGAAAGCTAAAGACGATGTCAATGTTTTCATTTAGTGCCAAAGGAGTATAAAAGATTGCATCTACCGACACTGCCGACCAGTTATCGCTGATCAGCGTGCCCTCAGTGTGACTGCAAGATGGTCTTTTTCTACGCATGCTCGTACAATACAAAAAAACTAACAAGACGGGAAGTAGAAGAGGAAGGGATTAGATTAGATGTATGTGCGAACTAGATTAAAAAATCGCCACAACTAACCAGAAATAAGTCTTCAATTTACGAAAATTCAAATCGAGACAAATTGAATGTTGACAATATGATAGTTGTCAGGCAACCAGGAGAGTGCATATCACCAAGCTCAAAAGAGATTTATCATGTTGGCCCTCTTGGAGGAATAAACTTGGCCTAGTGTGCTAATATTTAGGAAATGACAAATAAATTTAACCCTCCGGCATAAATTTAAAGCGACTTCAATAACAATTGTCAAGCCTATTAGGGATACTGCCTCCCTTGAGTTGGAACGACGAACACATTCCTGTGTCCCCCTCTCCAAATCAGAATTATTCACTTCCATTGGCCATTCATATCACAGGGTGTTCAAGATATAGAGGAACTGGAAACTAGCACAGAACATATAGTGACTACAGCCTATTGATTGGATGAGAGGTTTATGTACTTTTGATCGTATTCGTTCCCCAACGCGGTCAGACTGTTTCAGAATGTTCGAGCGCTCATAAGACTGCTTTGTGTAGCCGTGTCAGGCTTGTTTACCCCACACCTTCTAATCTTTATACAAGAAAATGCAAACATTGCTTTTCTCCACATCTTTTTCACGTGTTGAAGTCAGAAAGAAAATAGGCCAGGGAGAGGTGTTCACAAATTTTACGATCTAAACAGGTAACAGGTAACCCTGTTCCTCAAAGGCTAATGCCGTTCAAGTCGGCATAGTCTAGCGTTCATTTCCAAACTGAACTCGAGGAATAGAACTGGTAAAAGAATGCAGAACTTCATTGACTTGGTGAATTTCGACAGGCAGATAAATTGATAACCCTACGGATAACTAACTTAGTAAGCTCCTTTGAAGTGTTCAAAAATGCACAAATTCGTCTTATAATGAAAAAAAAACACGGGAAACACTAATCCAGTTTTGCTTGTTGCTACTTGCTTTCATAGTGGTAAAAATATGATATTTCTTTCCCCTCTACTGAAGTCCGGGGTAGAGTTGGAGGAAGCGTGGACGGAAAGAGAAGGAAGAAGAAGAAGTGTCAAACTGTCAATTTTCGTAAAAACGGTGGGGCGGACAGGTTGCCAAGTGGCCGTCGTTGTCGCGGTAGCTTGCGCTATCAGTTGAGAACCGTCAAGACTGGGCGAATCGCTGAAGCAGTAAATGACGTCTCCTTCCGACAGCATCATATGCAGGCAATTGAGCATCCAATCAACTATACTCATATAACCCTAATCATTAGAGGAAGGAGACAGAAATATGTCATTTTTATTAAAATACTGTTTTTTTTTCTAGCTGTTGAATGGAAGAAAGCATTTTTAAATATGCTCCAACGACAAAAAAAGATGGAGCCAGGTGTAAAGTTGAGGTCATTTGCAAATTTCCTAAAAGAGAAGTAATAACTACACAGTGACAACTTGATAAAAGATAGAGGGGGGGGGGGGGGTGTACGGTGTACGATTGGGCTTTTTTTATTGAGTTATCTTAACAAAAATAAAATAGCGATTTATAGTTATTTGCACATAACCCATGCTAAACGATCTCTCTCACTCTTGGCGTTTCAAAACTAGGAATTTCGTAATATGGTCTGACGTTTATTGCAAGAAGCAAAAATTATTATTACCTTTCTGGTGAAAATTCTTGATTAATCACAAAATAAGGCAATAAAAAAATTTAATTATTTAAAATATTATATCGTTGTGTTAATAAATTCTTAACTAATACCAACCAGCTGTTCTTGGCAGTCAAAAGTGTTATAAACTTAGAAGTACCCCCCCTCCCCTCCCCTCTCCCCTCTTCAAAATAGTCACAAATACTAGGAGTTAATTAAAACACATGAATGCCCTAAACGTAGTCTTGGCGACGATTCTGCAATTCGGTTCAATTTTTTTAATTATGTCAATAGAGCTTATTTACTCTTTCCTGGACAAAAATATTCATTTTGCATCCCAAAAAGCTTATCAAGTTGAGGCGACCAACCAATCAGCTTAGGGAACTAACCAATAACCCCCAAAATTGTACAAATGTGCTCACTGTGAAACCAATAAGACTCCTTTTTTACATCGAAGATTGTATAAATTCAGGTCCAAAGGAATGAAGGCTAACTTTTAAGAAAATGGCTGGATGCAAAATGGATATTGGGTATTTATTCCAAATCTCACATTGCCAAAATTTATGCTATTTAAAATGCTAAAAAGGCAAAATTCATTAAAAACACAGTGGAAATCATTAATATAGTTAAAAGATTTTCCGTATTGAAATAAGGTAAGAATTCATTTTTTGTAATTGGATTTGAAAAATTAAATCCTTATTTGAATAATCAAAGAAGATATTTAAGTTTATTTTAAATTAAATGTGCTTTACCATTTGAACCATTAATAATCAATGTTATTGGAAATTAGATGCTGAAATGGGAAATCAGTAGACTAGCTTGGCCATCAATTTTTGCCTATTTTTTTGGGAATTCATTCTGTCTCCTCCCTCATCCTTTCTTTCCTCTTTTGACAGTTGGCGACGCTGCCGTCGGACGCTGTCGTCGGCATGTCGGACGAGAGTATGACAACTCCCAAAAGAGAGCTCATATATCCATTCTCTCTCCCCCCCCCCTCTCTCTCTCTCTCCTAGGCCTCTTCTCGCTTCTCTTTCTTTTCCCTACATTTTTAATCAAGTAGTCAGGACTTTTTGACGTTCCTCGCATATCACTCAAATACGCTCATCATCCTCCTCCTCCTCTCCTTTTTTCTTCCCAAATTAAAAAAAAATATACATATGTATTAATTGTTGGGAGCAAGATGGACATCCGTTAATCTGGATAATTTTTCTACTTTTCTATGTCTTGGTTACTGGGGTGTGCAATAGACTTATCTCCACGTGGTGCACCCTGGGCAACGTATACTCATACGGGAAAAGAAGTCTACTTACTGGCAGTTGACTTCTCACTTCAAACTACCATCACCTCACTCTATGCCATATTTGACTATTTCCACAGTGTTCACCTCACCTTTGTTCTACCTTTGTGTTTGACTCTTACATCTTTAAAACACACTTCTGTCCCCCCCCCCCCTCTCGACTTTTTTTCACTCTGATATTCCTTCCCCTATGTGAAGCCCGAAGTCAACTAAAGAGCTTATGATAACCATCAAGACACCTGCCATGTGATATAAATAAATTTTGAAAGCAAATTAATTGTGCTACTTCATTGTACGACCAGTTTGATTTGAGTTTTACCCTGCTACTAACTCATCATTCAAGAATCCAGTTCACACAACTTCGTGCCGAAAACCTGAATTTTATTGGAGCTGATCAAAAGGTGGGCAACTGACAAGTAAATTGTCATTGTCTGCTTGACGGCTTGTAATATTTTGAAAAAAACAAATAAATAAGTTTTGAAGGGAAGCATTTTCCCAAATCACGATGGCGAAAGCCATATCTGGCCAAATAGTTAAATAATTTCCACCTCAAAAAAAGTAGAGCCTGGAATATGAAAGAAGTAAATAAAAAAGGAGTGCTGCTTTTTTGTACACAAACGAAAAGGCCCTGTGTATCCAACTTGCCCTTTTTTCTGCATATATACATTGCAAGAGGAGAATTTTGAATAATTTACTAGGTCCGACTTGAGCCGACACTACCGTTTCCGACAACACTGCTATGGCCTCAAGCAATGCCTGCTCTTCCCTATCCTCTCTCTGCATTATTGATGACTGCGCGCGTCAAAATGCCATTCACTTCTTCCTTGGGTCAACAATCTGTCAGCACTGCTCAGCCCACTTTTTCTACTTCATGTCCTATTCTGAGATCGCTTCCAGAAAATCATTTTTACCAAAAACTGCTTAAATTGGCACTTCTATTAATCCTGCATTTTAGAAGTCAATTTACCACCAATCGTGCTATGAGAGCATAAACTTATTTTGAGAGAAGCGAGTTTCTTCATTTTATCATCATTTCCTAATGAGCACACTTGAACAGGATGAGTAATTCTTCTTGAAAATCCAAATCCATGAAGTGTTATATCTTAGTGACATACCGAAATTATATTTCTTTAAAGTGTATTTCCGAAAAAAAAACTGCTAAAAGACAGCGTAATTGGGCAGAATATGATATGGATTATGACAGGCAAAAATAAAGACCACTGAAATACATGGATTGCTCCTAAAAAGACGCTTTCAATCTGAGACACTGGTTGGGCTGTACTGCTTCCATCAACTTTACTGAGACAATTTAGAATTATATACTTGTAGAGGGAGTGTGCGATAGACTCACCTCCACGTGGTGCACCCTGGGAAACGTATACTCATATGGCAAAAAAGTCTATTAACTGACAGTTGACCTCTGACTTCAAACTTCCATAACCCCACTGTATGTCATATTCGAACCCTTTCACAGTACTCATCTTACCTTTTTCTCTGCCTTTGTGTCTGTCTGTTACATCTGTGAATCGCTCTTCTTTTCCCCTGTCGAATTTTTCTCCCTTTAATGTTCCTCCCTTCTGTGAAGCCCGAAGTCTACTAAAGGGCTAATGATAACTATCAAAATGCCTGCCATTTGA